TATGGGTATATAAGCAGGACACTCATAATGGATCTATTCCAGCATTCCTATCTCAAGGAGTCGTTAATTTCCTTCCTGTATATATGCCAAGGGATTTTTGGCATCTCCATTTTCTTTAATGAGGGCCAGTGTTGGAGCCTGATTTGCTTTATCCAACCCATTTAGACACCCAACTGCTTGAGCCAGCACTTCGAATGTAGCACTTCTGATAAGTGCATCCACATTGACAAATTCAGTCCAATCTAAAATCATGTTCCACTCTTCTTGGTTGAGTTCTTTCAAAATATATTCTTGCAAAAATTTCAACAGTAGTTTCTTTTTTAAAAGTAGCAAATCTTCTGCAGTCCTTATAATGTAAAAACCTTCTCTTGGCAAAAGGAGAGTCCTGGCCAACTATATGAGGCAGATGTTATTGCCTGTTCATGTGTTTTATGTGCTCACTGAAACATTAATCGAAGGACTCATCGTATTTATTATTTAAACAATTTTTAAATTGAGTATAGTTGACACACAACATTTCATTAGTTTCAGCTATACAATGTAGTGATACAACACCTCTATATGTTATGCTATCCTCACCACAAGTGTAGCAACCATCTGTCACCATACAATGTTGTTACAGTATCATTGACTCTGTTCCCTATGCTGTGCCTTTTATTCCTGTGATTTATTCATTCCATAACTGGAAGCCTGTATCTCCCATTCTTCTTCACCTATTTTGCTCATCCCCCCAACTCCCCTTTCCTCTGGCAACCATCAGTTTATTCTCTGTATTTATAGGTCTGATTCTGCTTTTTGTTTACTTATTTATTTGTTTTGTGTTTTAGATTCCACACATGAGTGAAGTCATATGCAATTTGTCTTTCTTAGTCTGACTTATTTCACTTAGCCTTATACCCACTGCGTCCATCCATGTTGTCACAAATCACATGATCTCATCCTTTTTTATGGCTACATAATATTCCACAATACATATCTCACATATATATACCACAAATATGTATACTATATATTATAGATAGATATACTATATATACATATATATATACATATACATATATGGTGTATGTACCACATCTTCCTTATTCATTTGTCTATCAATGGATACTTTGGTTGCTTCCATACATTGGCTATTCTGAATAATGCTGCAGTAAGTATAGGGCTGCAAATATCTTTTTGAATTAATGTTCTTGTTTTCTTTGGGTAAACACCCAGTAGTGGATAGTGGAATTACTGGATCATATGATATTTGTATTTTTAATTTTTTGAGGAACCTCCCATACTGTTTTCCACAGTGGCTGCACTAATGTACATTCCCACCAAAGGGGCAGGAGATTTCCTTTTTTTCTACATCCTCACCAACACTTATTATTTCTTGTCTGTTTGATTTTAGCCGTTCTGACAGGTGTAAAGTGAAATCTCATTGTAGTTTTGATTTGCATTTCACTGATAATTAGCGATGTTGAACATCTTTTCATGTGTCTATTGGCCATCTGCATGTCTTCTTTGGAAATATGTCTATTCAGGTTCCCTGCCCATTTTTAAAATTGGATTATTTGTTTCTTTTTTGTTTGTTTGTTTTGGGGTTGAGTTGTCTAAGTTCTTTATATATTTTGGGTATTCATCCCTTATTATATATATCATTTGCAAATATCTTCTCCCATTCAGTAGGTTGCCTTTTTGCTTGTTGATGGTTTCCTTTGCTGTATAAAAGCCTTTTATTTTGATGTAGTCCCAATAGTTTTTTGTTTTGTTTTGGTTTTTTTGTTTCCATTGGCAGAGGAGACCTTTCTAGAAAAATATTGCTATGGCTGATGTCAAAGAAATTACTGCCTACGTTTTTTTCTAGGATTTTTATGGTTTCAGTTCTCATATTTAGGTCTTTAATCCATTTTGAGTTTATTTTTGTGTATAGTGTTAGAAACTGGAGGACTTACTGTATTTAAAGTGCCAGGAATGGTGTGGACAAAATATGATAGGAGCATTCCCCCAAAACCCGCAAAAGGCTTGAGAGTAGGAAGTGTTAAAATCACTTAAGTATCCTTTGCAAAATGTATATATCTGCTCCTACCTCCAGGGATGAATCAGATGATGGTGGAGGTTGGGGTAGGGACATCATGCATATTAGAAAATCTCTCTAGGTTTTCTGATAGGCACCGTCTTATGCTTACAACTCATGAGCCCCAGAACCACTACTCACATGCCTGCCTTAATCATGAATATAGTTTAAAGAAAAGGATAAAGTTGCTGTTTACAATTAATTACAAGGAGGGTAACTCTTCTTACATTGTTTTAAATTGTGTTCATGTTTCTAGCTACTCTCTTCTCTCTAAGAGAGTAGATGAAGTATATTTGTCACCACATTTTCTAATTTAGCTATGTGACTTGGGTCAATGGAAGATGAGCAGAAGCGACAATGTGTTACTTCTAAGCAGACACTTTAAGAGGCAGTTTGTGTTTCTGCCAACTCGTTTGCTTTTTTCTCTACCATAAGAATGACATGTTCTTAATAGAGGCTGCTCCTTTCGGCTGGTTTGTAGAATGACACACAGAACAAAGTTGCAGCCACTGGCAAAAACCACGAGCAATATATAAATGCTTGTTCTTGGAAGCTACAGAGATTCGAGTTGTTTGTTACTTCCGTATACCTGGCTAACATACATGAAATGATTTTTTCTTTCTTTCTTTTTTTTTTTGAGGGGGGTGGTGAGCACCTTGATGGGTTTGATTAGGTATTTAAAGTGACACCAAAGCTTGGATTCAGGGTATGATCTAGAGAGAGCTAAATTTCTTTGTTTAAGGAAGTAGAAAAGCTTTGTTTTATCTGTTGGAGGGGTAATTGGCCAGGGAAATAAAATGGAGAGAGCAGAGGGCTAAGCAATGAAGCAGGAGACTAGAGATCCAAAAATTGTTAAAAGACTATTAGGTTCACAGGTCTAACTTGGGGTTTTATATTGCTTCCATTTTAGCTAAGTGTATTACATATACATGCCATGTATGAGTGTGTTTTTGGTGGAAATATAAGAAATGGGTGGAGTTCCACATTTGGGTTAACTGTCCAGAACAGACGGAGCAAGAAACAAGCAGGCTGGGTCCATCCATCAGTTGATCCAACTGAACGAAAGCAGGAGCTTGAAGTCTGAGGAGACCATGGGATTGTAAGCCTCCCTGGGAATTTGTAGAAATTGTAAGCAGAATTTTGCTCCCACAAACCAGGTAGTGTGTATTTGAAACAATCTTTTTTGAATTTTAAAGCCTAGATTTAGGCTTTTAAATTCTTAAATGTTAGTAGATCAATTATAACTACATACTAAAATAATAATCCACACTGACCAAATAGTATTCATCCAGGAATCTAAGTGTTTCAAAATTTGGAAAGTTTTTAGGATACATTAAGGATAATGAGGAAAAAAGATCACTTAATGATCACTTAGTGATAGTTGAATGGCATCTGATAAGTTAAAAGTATAGAAGGACTCTTCTATTTTTTTTAAAGATTTTATTTGTTTATTTATTTGAGAGAGAGGGAGAAAGAGAGCGCGCGAGAGAGCACAAGCAGGGGGAGAGACGGAGGGAGAGGGAGAAGAAGGCTCCCTGCTGAGCAGGGAGCCTTTGCGGGGCTCTGTCCCAGGACCCTGGGATCATGACCTGAGCTAAAAGCAGAGAAGGACACTTCTTTATTGTGATTTAAAAACAATCTTTTAATCTGTCATGATCATACTTTTTGGTGAATAAAGCCCTAAGAACCTTCTTCTGGAAATTTACTGTAACATAGAAGGCAGAAAACAGAAATAAGAACTATAAATGTTAGAAAGTGACATTATTAATATTTGTATATAAAATGATTCTAGGATACCCAAAAGGATTGTGAATAATGTTAACAAGGTAGACTTACATGAATAAAATTGATAGCAATGGACACACCATATCCTTTTTAGGAAAGTTAACTATTTTACAGATGTCAGCATTTCCCTAAGTCAGTTTTTAGATTCATTTCCAGCCTGTTTTCTTATTTGTTTGATTTCTGGGATTTGACAAAGTGATTTTAAAGTCCATTTGGAATGATGAACACACTGTAATAGCAAAGACAAAGGTGAAAAGGTTGAGGAGTGAGGGGTAATTTATCCTATCAGCATTAAAATAGAGTAAAAATGCACAGTGGTGAGATGGAAAGAACATGGGCTTTGGATCCAGTAAACTTAGGTTTGAATGCTTGGCTCTGACACATTCCAGCCGTGTAGTCTTAGGTAATTAACTTAGTATCTTTAAGCAAAATATGTGTTATAAATCCTAACTGACCTGAGCCGAAATCAAGAGTCAGACGCTCAACCACTGAGCCACCCAGGTGCCCCCATCATAGCCATTTTTAAATGAACAGTTGAGTGGTATTAAATCCATTCATAAGGTCATACAACCATCAATCCCTATTGATTTCTGAATGAATCTTCAAACATATATAATTACTTATTTTTTAATAAGTGAAATCATTCTGATTATTTATCTATCAGCTTTTGTTCTCCACTTAACTCTCTAAGAGATCTTTCCGTGTCAATAAATGTAGAACCACTTAATTCTTAGCAGCTTTATATTTGCCAAAATATAGCCATAACACAATTTATTTGACCTTTTCCTTTAGGTTATTTCCATTTTCCTTCCTAATTTAAACAATGCTAAAATGAAACCCTGTACATCCGTATTTGAATATATGTGTAACTATTTTTGTTGGAAAGATTCCTAGAAGTGGGATTGCTGGTTCAAAGTATATATGCATTTTTATTCAAAAATACTATAAAATTACTCTCCAAAAAGTCTTTAATAATTTATATTTCCAAATGAGTATATGAAAATGTCTTTTTGAAAGCAGTCTTTTGACAGTAATATGCCAAAAGCCTTAAACTGCTCATACTTCTTGCCCCATTGATTTTGTTTGTGGACATTGTCTCAGAAAATAGTTCTAAAACACAAAACAAATTCTATACAAATATGTGCATTGTAACAATGTGTTCGCATTGGCAGCACATGTACTAAATTGGAACGCTACGGAGAAGAATAGCACGGCCCCTGCACAAGGGTGACACGCAAATTAGTGAAGTGTTGCATATTTTTAAAAAAATGTGCATCATATAAGTGAAATAAGTCAATCAGCGAAAGACAATTACCATATGATCTCACTCATATATGGAATTTAAGAAACAAAAACAGAGGCTCATGGGGGAAGGGAGGGAAAAATAACACAAGATGAAACCAGAGAGGGAGACAAACCATAAGAGACTCTAAATCATAGGGAAAATACTGAGGGTTGCTAGAGGGGAGGGGGTGGGGATGGGGTAACTGGGTGACGGGCACTAAGGAGGGCATGTGATGTCATGAGCACTGGGTGTTATATAAGACTGATGAATCACTGACCTCTACTTCTGAAACTAATAATACACCACATGTTAATTAATTGAATTTAAATTAAAAAAATAAATAAAATTCATCGTAAATTTTAAAAAATGGGCATTGTAACATTATATATATATAATTGTGAAAAACTGGATACAACCTAAATTTTAAAAATGGAGCATGTAAATTATTGTGAAGCCCTGTGTAGCAATTACAACGATAATTACAAAGACTGTTTAATAACATGGAAAATGCTTATGGTATAATGTTACTTGAAAATTGCAAGATTTAATGAAAAGCTTAATCAAAATGTTCAAAACAATTGTGTTTTGGATGTATACCTATTGATACTACTTCTTTTTTTATCCTACCTTAATTATTGTTTATTTCCCAGTCTTTCTTGATAGAAGATTATGTTTTTCTAAGTAAAAAATATTTAATCATAACCCTTAAGAAAGTGCTCTATACCTGACTATCCTTGATGACTATCCCTGAAGCATTTTATAAAAAGGAGCCAATTAAAAATACAGCCTAACAAACATCTTGGAATTGTCCTGGCTTTATGAGTACAGATAGTTCTCATCCTCCACAAAATTGTGAAGAAAGGAAAATTAGGATTTGCTTTCCAACTTTTGTGCCACCTTCCCTTTAACTCCCAGATTTTATATTCTGGTTTCTATTCCCAAGGAATCTTGCTTTCTGATCACTGCTACTGTGTTAACTAGTAATAGCATCCGAAGGTATTTGCATTTTATCTTAAAGATCTGACCCTTAAAAATAAGAAAATTCATGTAAAGCTTTAACATAAAGGAAGTGTTTGGTCTGTGTTGATGATGATGGTGGTGGTGATAAGCGTGATGGTACTGACCACGGAGAAGTCTTTAATAATAAAATGGGGCTTTGTGGGAAAAAGTGATTATTTTCCATTATGACACTTTCAGAATATTTAGAGTATGCCTGAAATTTCTTTCTCCTTAAAGAAAAAAAGCTTATGATGTATCCACAGTCTGTGTTACCGGAGATAGCTATAACCATAACAATACTCAAATCTTTCTCAAATCTATTTATATTTTCAACCTATATGATTGCATGGATTTGTGAATTCCTGTTATAAAACATTAGCACTTTCTTTTAGTAATATTAACATTGCCTCTTGAAGCTTGAAGGGGCATCCTCTCTTGCTAATATTCTTATATTTGTGGAGTAAATTTAAATGAACCGTATCCATATATTTGATGCTTGCCATGACTTTATAAATTAAAACATATGAAGCTATTTATTTCCTTCTGGGCACTATGCCTAGAATTTGGTGCCCTCAGGTAAGTAGTTGAGCTTGGACAGGGCTGCTTGCCAAAAATTAGGCTTCCTCCAGCTGTGGACAACGAAGGTTTACAGCCTCAACTTCTCCACAGCTGTATTTTTCCTGCAAAAATAATCACTACACAAATTTAGAATTGATATCAACTAGCTACTAATTACCAGCTTTTAAGTGTTAAGGAAAGATGAAATTCTACACAAGTTTTTAAAATATGCCTAACCTTAATGCCGTTTAGTGTCTTCCCGAATACATTTCAATGGCATGGTGGTCAAATCTAATTCTGTTTCTATTTTAGTGCTTTGCTAAGTCTTTCCTTGGAGTCCAAAGACATTTGGAACTTACGTACATTTCCAAATCTGATTCCAGCTCTCTTTGTTTACGTATTGTCTCTTTTAGAGCAAGTCTTGGGGTGCCACCTTTCCAACCCAAAGAAGCTTATCAAGCTATTTCCCTAAACAAAGGTAGTGATTGTTTTCGTTCTACCCCACTAAATTCTGTATTAAGTTTTGCAGCACGGTTTACAGCTTGTCTTTCGTTGGCTTCCTGAAGTCTTGAAACATCTGTGCATGTTTTAATCTTACGCTTTTGATACAGTGAAGTTGCTCTCAAGGTCCATCATATCCTCTCTCCACTGCTGTTCTCCCTTTCCCATTCTATCTCCCCCTCCCTTCCTTCTCCTTTCCCAAATGGATGACTTACAAACAGTACTGTTGCTTTATCTGCATTTTCCTGGTTATTTGTAGGGTTGAGCATCTTTTCATGTTTACTAACCATTTGAATTTCTTCTGTGATTTTGTAAATTTAGATGTTTGGTCGATTTGTCTGCTTAGATTATCTTATCCTAATTCATTTCTTTATATCTCATTGTATTCTAGATATTAACTCTTCATCTCATATGTATGAAGATACTTTTTTTCATTCTGATAGGTATCTACTCACTTGGGTTATTATCTTTCTTCTTATGAATGTTTTCAATTCTTATGTAGTCAAATCTGGTCAGCTTTTCCTTTCCGCTTTCTGAGTTTTGCATTTTTCTTATCAGATCTTCTAGCTTGTGATTATACAAATATTTTCTTTTTTAAATTTAAATTTTAGTTAACATACAGTGCAGTATTGGTTTCTGGAGTAGAATTCAGTGATTCATCACTTACATACCACACCCAGTGCTCATCACAAGTGCCCTCCTTAATACCCATCCCCCATCTAGCCCATCCCCCCACCCACCTCCCTCCATCACACCTGTTTTTTCTCTATCATTAAGAGTCTTTTATGTTTTGTTTCCCTCTCTCTTTTTTCTCCCCTTCCCATATGTTCATCTGTTTTCCTTCTTAAATTCCACAAATGAGTGGTATTTGTCTTTCTCTGACTTATTTCACTTAGCATAATACAGCTCCATCCACGTCATTGCAAATGGCAAGATTTGATTATTTTTGATGGCTGAGTAATAGTCCATTGTATAAATATATATATACCACATCTTCTTTATCCATTCATCAGTTGATGGACATTTGGTCTCTTTTCAAGTTTGGCTAGTGTTGATAATGCTGCTATAAACATCGGGGTGCATGTACCCCTTCAAATCTGTACTTTTGTATCCCTCGGGTAAGTACCTACTAGTGCAATTGCTGGATCGTAGGGTAGCTCTATTTTCAACTTTTTGAGGAACCTCCATACTGTTCTCCAGAGTGGCTGCACCAGCTTGCATTCCCACCAACAGTGTAGGAGGGTTCCCCTTTTTCAGCATCCTTGCCAACACCTGTTGTTTCTTGTGTTGTTAATTAAAATATTAAATTATTCTCTTATGTGCTCTTCTAAGAAAATATACCTTGGAGGTCTTTAATGTGTTTTAAAATGTTTTTAAAATAAACAATTTTGGATCTATAAAAAAGTTGTGAAAGTAATACAGAGTTCCCGTATGCCCCAAACCCAATCTCCCTGTTATTAACATCTTAACATTAGCATGGGATGTTTGTCACAATTCATGAGCCAATATTGATGTTATTATTAATTGAAGTTTATCCTTTATTCAGATTTCCTTAAGTTTTTACTTAATGTCCTTTTTTCTGTTACAAGACTCCCAATGTATTTAGGGTACCTCATTACATTTAATTTTTATGTCTCCTTAGCCTCATCTGTCCTATGACATTTTCTCAGACTTTAATTGTTTTTGATGATTATCTTCACAGTTTTGAGGAGTACCAGTCATATATCTTATAAAATATTCCTCAGTTGGGATTTGTTTGATGTTTTTCTCATAATGAGACTGGGTTTTGTGGTTTTAGAAGAAAGACCACAGAGGTAAAGTATCCTTCACATCACATCAGATCAAGGGTACATACAACCAGTACGACTTATCACTCTGTTGTTGACCTTGATCACCTGGCTGAGGTTCTGTTTCTCTACTGAAAAGTAATTTGTTTCCCCCTTTTTTATACTGTACTCTTTGGAAGGAAGCCACTATGTATAACCCATACTTAAGGTGTAAGGAATTCTGCTCTACTTCTTTGAGCGTGGAGAATCCTGTTTGTCTATTTTTAACCATTTGGATCTTTAATGCATCTGGAATTTATTCTGATATATTATCATAGTGGACATTGAGCTATTTCTTTTTTCCCTCTTTTGTGCAATTGGCATTTCTTTCGTTTGGGGAAGTCACAGTGGAAATGGATACGACTCCTAGATCTAAGAGAGGGCCCTGTTATTTTAGACCGAAACAGGGAATTTCCGTCCAGCTTTCTACACTGATTTAGTAAGATAAGCCAATCATTTGTTCAAGTGCAAGCCAAATCACTGCATGTTAGGCAATGGTCAACCTGACAGCTTGAGCCAATGCGACAAGAAGGGAAGTTGCAGAAGCCTTCTGGGAAAGGAGGTTTCTCTCTCTTTGATGGGGGATACCAAAAGATAGTGCTTTTTCTCCTTTTGGGCAACGTGGTGTGTAGATTTGAAGCTGGGAACTTTGGCAGCCATTTAGCCTAGGACGAAGCTGACGTTACAGAAGTCGGAACCCAGAGACAGAAAAAGAAATTGAAAAACAAATAAACAAAAGCCCTCAGTGTCTTTCATGTCAGTATGGAGCCACTAAATGAAGCAACCCTGCAGTCTGCTCTAGGAGACCCAGTTGAATGAGCCCTTTGTTATGTAAGGCAGTTTGGGCTGGGTCTTCAATTGCTTGCAATATAAAGAAGCCTGATACAGGGGTATATAAATAGAGATGTAATGATATGTATGTATGTATGTATGTATGTATGTGTATATTTATTTCCTTTTTTTTTCCTTTCAAGTAATCAGTTGTCTCAATACAGTTTATTGAGTCACTCATTCTTTCCCCTGTGATGTAAAATATCATTTTATCATAAACAACATTTCCATATAAAAATGGCTCTGTTCTGGGCTCATTATT